ATCACGTACTTTAGCTATTTTCAATCAATGATGAGACAACTTGGTTGACATGCAAGCTTGTACAACTTGCATAGCGAGATATGATACGTCAAAATTGCGTAAACCAAGCTGACATGGCGGGCGAGTGGCTAGCTGGTTCAGTCATCTTCGTGGTAAATCATGCGAAGTATTGTGACATATATTGTGATAACATACTTTTCAGATTTCATTCGCGGGTGTAATCTGTAATTCTATCGTAGCTGTTTTTGCTAGAAGGCTGACTTCTCTGAAAAATTCTTTTGGACTTTTGACGACAAGCCAAGCAACGGGAGAGGCTATGCTGTGTGCTACCTTTGCCTTCTACTATTCTCCGATGATCACCTTGTAAGTACAGTTTGCTGTAATTGCTAAATGTAATTGTAATTGTAATTTTTCTGCTGTCAACAGCATTTTCCAAACACAGGCTGCTTAGCTGTGTATCAAAAGGCGCTGCGGAAGGCAGAATCAAGTCGATTATTACTTAGGTTTATGTTATTTAAAACCATGTTGCCTTGAGGATGTCCTTCGAAAAAATCATTCTTTTTGCTGAAAAGACATTCTGCAAAGATTAACGTCGTTTCGTTGAATATTTGGATTTGACCTGGTAAGAAACCCAGCTTGAAGGCCCAAGCCCGCTCATTGTTTTTTCAAAGGAGAATAGAATTTTTGCGGAGCCTTCAAAAGCTGGGGTTCTCACCAAGTCAAACCCAAATATTCAATGAAACGACGCTAATCTTTGCAGAATGTCTTTCTATTTTTCGAAGGGACCAAGAGGGTCAGCCATGTTGATGCGATCAAGGACTTTTACAACCCTCTCCCCGACTTCTTTTTGTGGTAAACTGCATAAACGAATGTCATCCTCAAAAGCTGCCAACGAAACTCAATAAATATAGGTTCACGGAAAGATAAATACTTACAAATTGGGAAATAATGCAAGTAATGCTTCACCAATCGGAAACCTCGCAAATAATTCTGCATAGATTGAGTGAGTAGTAAAATTTTACAAAGACTTGGCTATGCTTATTGTGGTCGGGAAAATATGGAGGAAAGGACATCATCTGACAAAGCAGAACATGATTTTAATCTGAATGATATTTGAGCCGTACTCTAGCTAGACGCTAAAAATTGAAATAAGATATCAACCAAGAAAAATTTAGGGAAGACGGAACTGTTCACTTCACTCATTAGGATTATTTTATATTAGGTGGTCCGTAAAATAACGTCGCATCGCGTTTTACCACGCAATGTCGCGGCTGGATGAGCAGGAAAACAAGTGTACGGGATGCCAACCGATGGAGCAAAGCAAGCTCTACAAAATGAAGCCTAA